ACTGCAAAAACTACCTGGTGGATGTTGTAAAGGCTTTTTAAGTTGTATGTAATAATACTCATGGCTACCATATCTAGTCTGCAAAGATGAAAATTTCTTTCTAAATTTTTGTTGCTAACTAGTGATCATCTATATTTCTACAGCCTAGGTATGCTAAATCTTTTCATACTGATTTGGTGACTATTGTTTAAAAGACTTAAATATTTCTCATAATAATAATAGTATAGTATATACTATTAATAACAGTAATAGTATTAATAATAATAATAGTACTGAGCAGCAACCAATAGAAAGTGACAAGAGTATTGATGTTAATGAACAACAGCAAGAAGAACAAACTGGTTGCTAAACAACTGTTAATCAAGAACTAGTTGGGAAAATCAAGGACTAAATGAGACCTGCCAACACTGAATCAAATTAACAAGAAAACTCTGACTAAAACAGCAACAATGTTAATGAAGTTGTTAAACTGATTCCAAATGAGCTGATTGATATATTCCCCCACTTGTATAACCACTGCAGAATTGAGTTAAAATACAAAGGAAGGAAGTTATTAAGAAAGTAAAATCTTAATGGAAAATGAAATTGGAATTTAAGGTAAAGAAAATTTGCACATATTTGAGCAATTTGAAGAATTTGAGTGAAGGAAACTTGAAAAATAAGAAAATCAAGACTAATCTGTATGTGAAGTGCAACCTAGAGAATCAAGGAATTGCAGAGCCACTAGAACAATTGAAACAAAGGGTCATGATTGTTGCCAGAGAAGATCAAGTGATGTGATAATGAAATAATTTAATTCCAGCAAAATTTATACAAAACCCTTGAAAATAGGATCACAAATAATGAAAAGCCTATCAAAAAAGACACCCTAGAATTTGGAAAGGTTTGTGGGAAAACAGTAGCAGACAAAATATGAATGGATTTTCAAGCAAGTTGAAAATGGAGGGAAAGTACCCAAATGAGCTATGGTGGCATAATGGTTAGAATGCAGTATTGCAGACTAACTCTGCCCACAGCCAGGAATTCAATCCTGACTGATCCAAAGTTGACTCAAGGTAGACTCAGCTTTCCATCTTTCTGAGGTCAGTAAAATCAAGACCCAGATTGTTGGGGGCAATATGCTGATATTTGTAAACCTCACTGGATTGTTCCCAGACCAGATGAACTCCATGGATTCAGGCTGAAATCATTGACAAATTTATACTTGAGGTTGGCAGAAAAGATGAATAGGGGTTTGGAAGCACCAGTAAATAAAAAATGGCTAACATCTAGAAGGACGTTCCTAATTCAAAGAAGAAGAAGGGAAATGACTCTGGAAACTACAGACCTATATAACCAGTTTACCAACAATGTATAACTACTTCTGGGCATAATTACAAATAAAATCTACAGCTATTTGAAAATAAATGATTTACTCTCTGTAAAACAAAAAGGGTCCTGCAAAAATTTGAAAGGAAAGAAGATTGGTTATTAATTGACAATTTGGTTTTAAAGAATTCAAAAGAAGAACAATTTTTTAAGGCTAGGATCAGTCTTAAGGCATTTGATTCTGTTTCACATAGCTGGATTGAGAAATGTTTCAAATATTTGGAGTCAGCAGAAACATTCAGCAATTTATGAGTACATCAACGAAGTTTTGGTGAAAAATGTTGATGGCTAATAGAAAACAGATAGGAGAAGTCAAAATCAAATATAGGCAGCTCATTATTACTGTTACTCTTTATATTATCAATGGGCACTGACAACAGTTTTGAATAAGTTAAAACTATGGATATGAATTGGCCAAAAAAGGAGTAAAATTTTGTATTTACTCTGTATGAATGATTTAAAATTATTTGGAAAAACAAAGTCTGCACTAGATTTCTTATTTAAAAGCACAAAAAATTCAATAAAGATATTGGAATAGTTTTACAAAAGTTATTAAGTGATTTCAGAACATTTTGAAATGAAAACTAAATGAAACTTCATTAAAGCAATTAACACGTGGGGAGTACCTGGTTTTGCTTGTTGGAAGCTGAATGGGAAGGCCACAAATGGCAGTCATATTAACCCAAGGCATTGCAGCTATCATAAATATATGCTAGTTTCCAAGCACCTGAATTTTGATCATTGGTGGTGGGGATGCTGCAATGGTCATAAGTGCAAAGACTGGTTTTAAGACACTTTTTCCAGTGCCATTGTAGCTTTGAATGGTCACTACACAAATGGTTATAACAAGTCAAGGACTACCAGTACAAAGGGATACTGTCACTTTTTTGCCAATAAACAGGGTTAATTGCAGTCTTGTTTTGCTGCAGCCAATCTAACTAACTGGAAATATATCCATTTTAATTTAAAATCGAGGTTCAGTAGCAGTAGCAATTTTAGGCTGCAAAGCTAAGTATATTTATTTGGAAGGCAATGTTACTGAATATAGTGGGACTTACATCAGTGTAAAAAAGGCAGAATAATACACTGCCCAAAAACCTTACAACTAATGAAATAAGATAAACCATAACCCCATCTTTTTACTGTATCTTATGTATTATGATAGGCTTTAGGAGAGAATTAAATATCAGGTGACATTTCAACTTGGTGTATGACTGAAGGCAGGGCCAAAATGAAAAATGTTTATAAAACAGTTTTTGCTTAAAATCTTAATCCTTATTTTGCTTAAAATCTTAATCCTTATTTCAAGGTTATCATGAGTTCGGGAACTACTTACTATATTATCTCATCTATTATTCCTTTTGCTTTGGTATTTTATGTCTTTTTTGAAAAATTACAAAACATTATTCTAGACTGACATAATATTATTTTACAATGTGCAAAAGTCAATTAATGCCACTGACTGTAACTGGTGTTTTGTGTATGATGAATAGGAAATATAGATAGAGTTTTGATTTATACTGCTGTCCTAATGACTTTTAAATATTTTAGGATGAATTAACAGAATCAATTCTTCATTACTTCATCAGCATTTGTATGTCAGATTAAGTTGAAATTCATCATAGGTAAATGTTTTAACCAGTTTAATTCTGAATGTTACAAAAAGTTTTGATTTTTAGAAACTATATAAGATTATTTCCAGCATTTTAAAAATATTTTCTTGCATATAGTAATATTGTGTGCTTCTTTATTTGAGGCTATGAAAAATATCATTTGGTGTTTAACAAACATTCATTTTAATGTATATGCCTTCCTTACTATTAGTACATTAAAATTGAGTGTTTGCTGCATAATAATTTAACACATCCATTCTTCACTATAAAAGTGGTTTCTATTTAAAAATTGCAATTTCAACATGATACATTTGAGAAGAATTAGTTGCATAGCAGTTTAGATTAAAAGATATTTCAATTACTTTTAAAATAGTGCTAAATTATATTACTGCTTAGCTGCAATAATTGAGACAACCATTAGAATAGAAAGGTACTCTTTGCTGCCATCTATGATAACTCTAATAAGTGAGACATTTATTTCTCCATCAGCAGAAATTTGGGTTATTCATATGGTTTATGTGTAAATTGTATTCTGTGGAAGTTCCATCTTTATTTCTGATACCTTTGAATGTGTGTAAGTTTTTGCCTTGTCCAGTGTTTACTCCCCTTTGGTAGCTCCAAAAGACTGATCAAGCAATAAAAACAAAACATTTCCCCAATATCAGTGTCACTAATTAGATCAGTGGTTCTCAACCTGTGGGTCGGGACCCCATTTGGGGTCGAACGACCATTTCACGGGGGTCACCAAACAACGCAGTCCGCCATTTTTTCCCCCTTTTCCTTAGCTGTGCTACTCCCTTTTATTCTATTGGCTTTTGAAAGCCAATAGAATAGACTCTCTTGAATAGAGTCTAATTCTATTGGCTTTCAAAAGCCAATAGGAATTGTCCAGGTTGTCTCTGCCCTGCTGAGCCCGCCAAAAGTCCCATTCTGCAAACGGTGCTGCACCAGTTGAGTAGTCCTCGACTTACAACTGGTTGGGGGTCGCGGCATTAAAAAGGTTGAGAACCACTGAATTAGATGAATTTAAACTAAGAGTCTAATTATATAATTTATCAATAGAAGTGATGTGGTTGCCTGGCATTTTTCTAATATATATTTTAAGGGTGGCCAGTGTAATAGAATGTCATAATAGACATCCTAGTTTGATAGACCTATAGCGTGTTATAAATAGTAGGATTAACAGCTGTTATAACAGATGTTAAGCTTGCCACTAATTTTAAGAGTTAACTAAAATATTTCCTTTCACATGATTAAATATGTAAGCTTCATACCTCATGGAAAGCAAAGTGTCTCCAGGGTATTTCTATTGCATTAATTTTTCTACTTGTCCTATTTTCTTTTCCCATGATCAAATGAACATCAGAGTATCTTCTCTTTTTATCTTCAAATCCATCCCTTTTTCTGTGGCTATTTCTCAGATTGTTTAACAAACACATATGCTTTGTTTTTCAATTAATTTATATAAAAATGCAGTTAATTCTTAGTACCTAAAAGTACCAGAAGTTGTCTTGAGACAGTAAAAGTGTGGGACAGCTGCCCACTTAGAAGTATCTTCCTAAAAGAAGAAAAAATCAATGGAGAAATAGTTGAGAGCAAGGATGCCAAGTATCTTATGTCAGTGCTTTGCATCTCTCATAGCAACCCCATTGTGAACAGAAAGCCTTGGTCATTTTTTGAGAGCACCCATCACATGTATTTCAGGTTCCAAGTGTGCCCACTATTCCAAATTGGGTGGAAATTTTTTATTCAATGTGATAAGGCAAGAGCTATCTAGAATGAAAACAGCTCTTTCTTAGTTCCAGTTGATGCGACTGGGAATAAAGCTTGCAAATTGCTTTGCCCACTTTTAACTCTTCACTTTCTCCCAAATGTTAGGTCATTGATATGTGATTGTATTGGTTTATTAAGGCATATACAGTCATAGACCAAAAGAATTATATTCAGTTATTTGCTGAGCAGAAAACAGTTTATGTTGCACTTCTTGAAACATGGGCATTTTTGCATGTCTTGCTATAGGAGAGCATATCAGCCACAGCCAGTGAGCCCATCTGAACATTCACAGTGAAGCTTTGTGGTGGTCCATTCAACTTGACAGAGGTAAGCCACCTTTGTAACCCATCTAAGTCTTGTGTGATTAATGCTAAAGAAAATGAGGTCACCCTCCATGGAAGATGGCTTTGTAAAATTTGTAATGCTGCTACTAAAGGTTGAGTTTCATATAGAAGGGTAATAGTAGGCACTCTGAGGGTACCATGAAGCCCTCAAGAATTTTTTTTAATGGATCTGCAAACCCTGTACAGAGATAGGAACTAAAAATTGCTAGCAATCCCTGCCATTTTAATAAAAGTGATCTAAGCCCTAAGATAAGCTTAAGATAATTTAAAAGGCGTAGCAAAACAAATCCATATTCAAGACAGAAATTAAATACCTAGCCTCCACTTATAAATTTGTGACATGATCTTGTACACTTTGCCCCATCCACTGTTCCTCACCCTTCCTAAAATTTGTAAGTGCATTCCTCAGCTACCAAAAGATGCTTCATGGATTTTCAGATAGCTCAAACCTACTCCTATATACATTTTCCTCAGAATATAAGGTTTAAGGGTTCTCCTCAGAAATTCAGAACAGCTCAGTTTTACCAATAATTTTTGTTTATGCTCATGACATGTATTACCACTATAATAAACTCTCTTCTGGTACAGGCAAACGGTGATTTATATCTTCTTTGCCACAACCATAGTTAAAGTACAAGTCCTGTTTGTATAGTGCACATTTGTAAAAGAAAATGATACATGAGTCTGTTGCCTCTGACACTTAACATAGGATACTGCCAGCAAATCACAGTCCTAGCATAATTAAATCTTGACAGCAATCAGGAAGTCTTCCCAAACAAAGATAAGCTTGTTTCTAGCATTGCCAACCAGTTGTGAAATACAAAACCTCACAAAAACCGTCAGTGTGCCCTTTGTATCCCATCAAATCCAGTGATAGCAATAGCAATAGCACTTAGATTTATATACTGCTTCACAGTGCTTTACAGTCCTCTCTACGCGGTTTACAGAGTTGGCATATTGCCCCAACAATCTGGTTCTTCATTTTACCAACCTTGAGCTGAGTCAGCCTTGAGCTAGTCAAGATCGAACTCCTGGCAGTGAGCAGTGAGTTAGCCTGAAATACTGTGTTCTTACTACTGCGCCACCTAAAAATCCAAGCTTGCCAGCCAGCTCTGAAGACAAAGTGATCAGAGAATCCACCAGAGGGCAAGTAAGTGGTCATTTCACCTTATGACTGTAGACAATGTTTTAAAAAATGATGCCGGCTTCAAATTTTCCTCTCCAAATTGAATCAGGGCAGATTTGCACAGACCTAGTTACTAACAACTTAGCCACCGAGTAGCCATAATAGTATGTTTACACATTGACTCAGTATCTTGATCATTTTAAACTTCAGTGAATTGTCTTTGAATCGCCTACCATGTTGTATGAACTCATCATACTCACTATTACTGTTTTTATTCTGCATATTTCACCAATTCTAATTACCTTCTAAATCAGATAAGAAGATACTTGAGAAGAAATATTGTAACAGCTGTTTTCATCTCACTATAGTGAAGTGTGATCATGGGCTTATTAATAGATTTTTTTTTTGGTTATAACAGTTTAAACATTTTAGAGATAAATTTGAAGAATATATCCAATAATGTTGTTAATTGCGAAGTCGTGTCCGACCCATCGCGATTATATCCAATAATACAATTTTCAAATAGAAGAATTTTGCATCGATTTTGTTTCTTGAATATCTGATTCTAGAAGATAAAAATGGAAATTGTAATGAAGCATTTTGAATAGGAAGAATTTAAAAGCTGTTTTCCCATTACTGCAAAACTTTGCCCTCCCAATTGTTCCTCCATAGTTGTTAGAAAAGCAGTTCAAGAAGAGTCAGTAACCATTCCACTGAGCTCATTCATAATCAATCACCTGGCAAATTGCAATTCACCACAAAACTTGGTGACTAAAATGAAATTATTTACAGCACCAGCTGCTGCTTGTCAAAACACTCTGATTTTCTTTTTTAGTTTAATGACTGGACTGTGGGACAGGTAGGATTTAGATCTCCCACTGTTACAGTTAGCCTTCATGCACTGCCCATGCACTGCCCATTCTATTTTTTTTTTTAAAAAAAAAAAACAAAAACAAAAATAAAGCCATTGTTTTCTAGATGTGTTTTCTAAGCAGCATGCTAATGAGGAGTTTAATATTTAGTTTGTTTTGAAGCATAGTTTTATGTTTTGATATATGCTACTGTTGCCCTGGACCTTCCAGGAGCCTCCCCTACTCCTCTGCAGAACCCCTCCCCCTCCTTATCTAGGACTCCCTCCACTTAACAACACATGATTCTCCCTTTATGAAAGCTAGATGGCCAGGATTATAGTTACTAAGTAGTGCAATCATCTTGCTTTAACATCTTGCTTTATGACTGTTTTACTTAGCAATGGAAATTCTGGACCAATTGTGACCATACATTGAGGACTACCTAAACTCAGTTGTTTATTTTGCATAACTCTGCTTTCTACCTCCCCAGTTAAATGACTGGATTTTTCATTGTTAGGGAGGTGTTCTGTCTGTAAATTTTTTTTTCTTTTTACAGTTAAATGTCAGAGCTTCAATAAATGCAGCTTACTCTGTTTCCATTTCAACCTTCAATACCATGACTTCTTTGCCAAGGACAATAACTGATATCAATTACAGATGATGTCTATAAACTTAGAATTGATTTGTTTACTTTCTGGGCCTTGGGTGTATGATCCTCTGAGTCTGAGAGGCATGGATTACATGTGTAGTCTGAATATTTTCAAGGGACATAAATTATAGCAATTAAAGTGACCTGGGGGGGGGAGAGAAATGCATTATTAATTCGCATACTCATTAATAGCTGCAAACAGCCTACAAGAGATATAATGTCAATACCTAAGCACCCAAAGTGATGGAGTGTGCCTTTGATGGCATTCACAACCTCAAATGACTAAAGATACAAGCAATGACACACAATACTATGACTCTCCCCCATAGTAACAATTTGTTCAATTGGAATATATTTTAAAGGAACAATCATTTTTAAACGACTAATTCCAGGGACAGGGACAGCATAATTGATGAGCTCTTCAGGATGTCAGGATTAAATATGGAGAAGCATAGTTACTGTAATGGACTGTGAGAATAACTTTCGGAAACAGTAGGAGGTTCTGTAACTTAAACAATAATCAGTCAAGAGATACTTCAGCCCAGAGAAGGAATGTAAGTGGAGAAAGCATCACACAAAGGACCCTCCCCAGTTCTCTGGAAAATAAAAGCAAGGGAGAGGAGAAGTACATTCAAACTTGTAAGGCAGGGGTGTCAAACTCGCAACATCATGTGACGTGTCGTGACGTATCACAACTTTTTTGCCATTGCCAGCAATGAGGTAGGCATGGTTTTGCTATGATGCAACCGGCTCGTGAGCCAGCAGTTTGACACCCCTGTTGTAAGGCATTTGTTACTGTAACATTGCAGTAAAAATAGGGTTAGTATTCAGGCTTTTGGTTTCTTGTCTGGACTACCTTGAAGGGCTGACATCCTTATCAAAATAACCAACCACATGCTGTGCCAAATGCAGAGGAAAGGAATATTTGTCTTCACCATCTCTACAGTGGCTTAAAACAGTACAGAGTTTTAATATCCCTCACAGATTGCAAAATCAATGACATTTTTCCTATATGGAGAAAATCTCAGTGTACCAGCTGCCCAGTTTAAGTGCTTGTGTCAAAATACATTGTCTATAACAGCGGTTCTCAACCTATGGGTCGCGAACCCATTTCGGGTCGATCGACCATTTTTCGGGGGTCGCCAAAGAAGGCGATCCGCCATTTTCTCCCCTCAGGGGGCGAAGCCGCGCATGTGCGCGGCGCATGTGGTGACGCCGCGCATGCGTGCCGCGCATGGGGGGCGATGCCGTGCATGCGTGCCGCGCATGGGGGCGATGCCGTGCATGCGTGCCGCGCATGCATGCCGTGCATGGGGTGATGCCACGCATGCGCACTGCGCATGGGGCGACACCCCGCATGCGCTGCATGCATGGGGCGATGCCGTGCATGTGCGCTGCGCATGGGGCGACACCACGCATGCATGCGCACCACGCATGGGGGTGACGCTGCGTATGCGCGCCGTGTGTGGGGGCGGCGGTGGCGCGCCGTGTATGGGGTCGACGGCGTGCATGTGTGCCGTGCATGGGGAAACGCCGTGCATGTGCACGCCGCACAATGGGGCAGCGGCGCGCATGCATGTGCCACGCATGGGGATGCGGCGTGCATGCATGCGCCACGCATGAGGCGACACCGAACATGCATGCGCCGCATGGGGGCAACGCCGCACATGCATGTGCTGCGCATGGGGGCGCCGCCACGCATGCATGTGCTGCGCATGGGGGCGACACCAAACATGCATGCGCCACGCGTGGGGGCTACACCGCGCATGCATGTGCTGCGCATGGGACACCAACGTGCATGCATGCCGCGCATGGGCAAGCCCACCCCTATGCACACGGCGCCGCGCATGCGCAGGACGTTTGTGTGACGGGGGTCGCCGTCACACAAACGTTGAGAACCACTGGTCTATAACGATGTCCCCAGTTTTTTTCTACATGAATTTCAGACTGGTAGAAATTAAAGTATACTACGTGTCTTGCAAATGTGGGCGCAGGAGACTTGTGGGACCTGAAATTTTACAGATACTGTTGAGAAGGTAGTGTCATGGTCAAGTTGCCACAAGAGTTGTGAGTCTTGCTTTTGATTTCAAAGTACATTTTATCACAGAGTCCTAACTTTTGAAACTTAACAGGAAACAACAAGCATGAATAAGTTCCATTTGCACGGTAATCTTTCCTTCACATGGAAAAATGGCCAGAGATCTTATCTCAGTTCAGAACTATAAAGTAGAAAGGCAGTTGTTTTCTTTCCTAAATCTCTGTTTGTGCATACCAATGTATTTTGGAGATCAGAAGAGCTCTGTCAATTCAGAAATCCAACACTATTTCTATGTAGCTGTTCCATAGCTGAAATCAGG